GGTGACAGAATACTTTGGACAACTGAGAAAACACCAATACAATGGGGTCATAGTTCATTTTCTGAGATGAACTGCAGTGAAAACGATGATTCTATTGATTTTGACGATGATTTTATAAAATTTGAGACTACAAGCCAATTTCTTCATTTGAGTGTTCCCAAACCTCCTGGGCTTTACGGAGGGGAAGAAGATCCCTCTTAGTTAAAAGGGTAATATAATTATTCCGAAATATAATATACATAATTAATGTAACACACTTTTCTCTCAATTGTTTAAAGATTGGGTTTGCTTGGTCATTTCACACAAACATTATCTTCTCCATCAGATCATCGATTGCTTCGACGAATGTTTTGAGGAAAGGAAAAATTGTAGGAGCTACCAATACCAACCCGGAGCTCATCCTCTAGCGGCGGTGTACCTGCCGGAGATGTTCACCTTCGTTTCTCCATCGCCGCCGCCTTCCGCAGTTGATCATAACGTGTCTCTTCGTTTTGACGCTGCAGACTGTACAAAGATGAGGAAAAAGACAATCTCAAAACCAATTTACAATAATAAACATTATTTAGCGGAGAGTAAAGAAAGAATAAATCGATTACATCTTTTTGGGCAGAAAATGGATAACGGAGGAGCAGTTAAACTTGCATTGTTTGAGTGATAATTATTTACTGTATTTAGTTATCAACTTGTGTTATGTGAATGCTTGGTGCTCGTACTTTTATTAGTCAACATGCACTGTGTGAATAGTATATTTGAGAATACATGGCCCTTTACTATAATTCTTCTTTTAAATAAATTCAAAATTCAAAATAAGTAAAACTTTTGTAAGGTGTGCTATGCCAAAATTTCTAGTAAGTTGCGCAATTAAAGAATATCACACCAGTGAAGAAAATAAGAAAACTCCAACAAGGAGGGGGAAAAAAAAGAAAAGAACAGTCTAAAGCCTAAAATAGTGTACCTTAGAGCAGCAAGTGTGGTTTGTTGAGAAAATGGGGCAATCCTCAACAGTAAGATATTTCAACTTTGGAAACATGTTATCATAGAAGCCTTCCTCATGGATTTCAGGTTCGCAGTTGGAAAGTCCCTTTAGTTCAGAGCAATCTTTAATCTTCAGATGTTTCAACTGTGGAAGATTTTCAGTGGAGAGGAAGAGCCATTTCAACTTTCTGCATCTAATGACTCTAAGATCTCGAAGTTGTGGGAAGCAGAAGGAATAATGAGAGGAATAAGGGTTTGGAAAGTGATGCTCTTCAGATGACATCATCTCTTCCAACTCTTCACATTCTTCAATCTCTAGACGCTCCAAACATGGTAGGCTTCTGATCACAGTGCTAGGGAAGATGCACTTCAATTTTCTACATTTACTCACATAAAAGTCCTTAAGATTTTGGAACATGATGAAACTGGGACCCTCCCATATGGACATGAGGTTCACTGAATCCTTCAAAGACAAGTGCTCCACTCTTGAGATCAACATCATCCCTTTTTCTTCATTTACAAACAATTGTTCTTTTGCATCTAATGAAGTTTGAACATTTGAATCTTCTGTAGAATCCTGCCGCAACTGCAATTTCAATTTAAAAAAAAAAAGGACAAAAATTTGTTCACATCAATCAAATTTAGTAGTAATTTTAAAAAAAAAAAGATAAAAAATTGGTTACATTGTAAGTATCTCGAGCAAACTCTTTGCTGATATGCAAATGTTTATATATCAATGTTAGAGACCAAAAAAATCAATTTATAATTGATTTAATTTACTGTAAAATATCTTTTCATTAAAATGGTTTCAGTCACTCACACACAATTATTCTTTCATCAAATTTTCTTTTTGGTGGAATTTCATAGTCAAGGTTTTAATATGTTTGTGCATGAAAAATTTAAAAAGAATTTCATTAATAAATATTCAAAATACATGAAATGAAGTCTCGCACATACACACACACGAACGCCATACTTTCATCTGTTGTGATCCAAAATTGAAGGAAAATCTAGTTGTGTATACGCATCAAGTATTGTTTTTATTCTTCTTGCATCTCTTTGTAATTTATAAGTTTCCTATTTAATTTATAAATTATAAATGATGTATATGATTCTAATCCAGATATTATTCCATCTATTTTTGAAGACGCTAATCAAACAAAATATAGAATAATCACTCATACCGATATTGTTGTCAATTGTTGAAGAATCGATCCGAAACTTGAATCTACAAATCTGGGGCAGTTGCAAATGCTGATGTGGCTTAGCTGCACCTGAAACTGCAACCCTTGGAAAACACTCACCAAATTTGGCAAATTTATTAGTGTTATCATCGTCAAGCTTAGTTGGCATCATCTTCTCTACTATGCCCAAAAATTACCTTTAATTCATCAGCCCCATTTATCCACAAAAAGTTTAGTTGGGGAAGAATAATAGCCGCGGACGTAGAGAAGAGTCTTTTGAGCTTGTTGCACCTCCCGACCCTCAACTCTTTTAGTTCTGGGAAGCAAACTTGAACATTGGACATGATCTTATGTTCCTCATTTTCTGCAATTATTTCCTCCAATTTCTCACAATCAAATAAGGTTAGGGAAGTTAATCTGGGAAGGCTGTTGTGGACAATAGTGCTCATTGAGAATACAAACTTTAACTTTTCACAGCGAGTTACTTTTAAGGAATGAACATGTTGGAAGCTCAAAACTTGTGTGGGAACAAGACCTCCTGGCATTTGTTGTTCTTCTGAGTCGCTTGTTTCTTCTTGCTCATCATCACCAATAATGCGCCAGCGTGCAATTCTAGGACTTTGAACATCAAGCTCTCCAGCATTTAAAACAGAAAGTGGAAGATTATTGAGAGCCTCATTATTATTTAATTGGCTGTATTTCAACACATACTCCTTTACAAGTCCCTGCATGTAACAGAAAGGAGTGAAAGGCGGGGGAATAAAATATTATAAGTTCCTTGGAAAGATTATGAAAAGAAAGAGATTGCAATACATTCAACATTTACTCCTATTTGTTTAAGTTGAGAGATGCAGTTCATTCATATGTATGTAGGAATGCGTGATGTCTTAGTCACTTGTTTTGTCTACATTTAATCATGCTAGAATCATGTTAAAACCAGAAATATATAATGCTCTGCATTGCTGAAATCCTTCTTCTCTTCAAGTTCCATGGTTTGAACCATCATTGATTGCCACATAACCTGCTATAAGAAAAATTTATATCCTATTTGTATCCGAATAGTTTCTTTGGTTTGTTCCATGAAATGTAGAATGACTTGTTTACGAAGCGGCTTTTTACATGTAGATATCTCGTGCATATGCATGTGAAAGGAATTAACGTATTAGACCGGAGTTCATGAGCTTAAATGAACAAAACATTAAAAAAAAAAAAATAGAAGCATTAAATATTCAGCAAGCATGAATTTAATTAATATTGCAAAATAAAACATAGACAAGATTTGCAGTATGGAGAAACACAAATGCAGAATATTAGTTACCTCTTTCGTGTAATCAATAGTTGCACCCATAATTGGCATAAGTCTTGGGCAATCATGAACTTGAACTCTGCAAAGCTCCCCTGTCAGCAACTTAAACCCTTGGCATACATTAGCGAGTCTAGGCAAGTTCTTAAGTTCCATATCTCTCATGTTAGGGAATGTAATCTCCTTGTCACTGTCAATCTCATGCTCTTCATTGTTTGAGCAGTTGAAAATTTCTTCCATTTGCGAACAATAGGATATGGTTAGATTGCTTAGCTGCGGAAGCACTGAAGTAATAGAAGCACTGATCATGAAAGATAAAATGAATTTCAGTTTGTTGCACTTGGAGACTTTCAAACTCTTCAATTTCAGCAGACAAGATTGAGTAATGGATAGATTCTTCTGAGTCTCTTCATTTGCTGCAAAAATTGCATCTAACTCCTCACAGCAAGATATGGTTACAGATGTTAACTCTGGAAGACTTTGATAGATATGATCAGAAAAGACAAATTTCAATCTTGCACATTTCTTCAAAGTTAAATTTCGGAGGTACTGAAGTGTTGGAATTTGCTCTTGTACCCCGGTTTGACGGTGGAAAATGGACTCTACTCCATAATTATCTAGTTCAATCCATTCCATAGCTGCCAATTCATGGCACTTAAGTTCCTGCAATCCCTTTGTGAAAAGGAAAAAGCAGAAGTAAAGACAACGAAAACCATTGACATTTTTTTTTTGCTAAGAATAAGATAAATTGGGATTAATTAAAATTCTACCCACACACACATTATTCTTACGTAGACTTAGTCTATCAATTTTTTTTGATAAATTAGACAAATAAAGATCAGCCATTTGAATATATAAGAAATGGAGTTCACAATAAAGTCAAGGAAAAATTACAATGAGGGCCCTATAAGAGTCCATATTTATTGGTGGCTGTAAAAAATGATAAATAAATTGAATCACCAAAAGACAAAACAACTAAATATAATTACTGGATTATTCGTGTATTGAAAAATTTGTAACGACGACAAATCGTGGCACAAAAAATGTCAACAGAGAATGTAAGCCAGGAGGCAGAGCCCAGCTTCTATTAAGGTGTTTTAAGAGAAAAAGATATTAGGAATTTTTTTTATCAGAATGCTAGGAACTGTTTTATATAAAAAACTTTCCAATTTTTCAAGCTTTTTTTGTTTTGTTTTGCAAATCTAATTGAAGTATGGAAGAGAAAATGCGTACCATATTTGGACAATCCGTCCATTCTATTCTCTTTATTGATGGGTACCTGGAACGATACCTCTTTGAGCAAATTCCAACAATATTTGGAAGATTTTTCAGTTTGATATATTTCAATAGGGGAAGCACTATTTGAGTCACATCTTGATCATGCATAATTGGTTGTTCTTCACCAGCATTTTCACCAAACACAAATTTCATTTGAGGAGCATTCATTATGGATAGATCTTGCAATTGCACAAACCGTTGAGCTAAAAAGACCGGGCATACAGATTCTAATTTGCAGCAATTATCGATGGACAAATATTTTATTCTGGGACTCTTGAATTCTCCCATGCATCACCACCACCCTCTCCCTCTAGTACATGCATCAATTCACTGCAACCTTCTATTTGAAGGTTCTCTAAGGATAACAAAGTGCATGCGGTAGAGACAGGGAAGAGAGATGTCAACATTGGACAACTGGAAATATTGAGAAACTTGAGATTGCCTAAGTTGCAATCAGCAGGGTATATGTAGAGCAATTGAGGGCAATTGAATATACTTAGCCTTTTCAACTTTTGGAACAAGCTGAAAGGAGAAGGCCCACGATGTAGTTGTTTAAGATTATCCATGTCTCTTAGCACTAACTCATCCAATCTGGGGACAACTGCATCTTCATGAAGAGTAGTTTCATTGGTAATGCATTCTATCTCTGAACACCTTTCAAGATGGAGTTTAGTTAGCTCATTTGTGCCTCCTACAACTTGGGCAATATCAGGCATGAATATTTTGCTGCCTCTCTTAAGCTCATAAAATTTAATAACAGTTGCTCTTTGTGCAAGGTCTTTGATTCTTGCACCTAAAATTGAGATATTTAATTGACCCAAGTGCAAAGATCTTGCGTCTTCTTCATTTTGAGATGCGAAGCCTATGCCATGCTCCCCAATTTCTAACTTATACCTCCTCAATTTCATCAAAGCAGCAGGGTCCGCAAGGTATTGATAGCAATTTGCATTTTTTGAGTGGGGAAAATGTTTGGAAACATACAACTCTTCTAACTCCAAACACCTTCCTATTGCTTCATAACAACATTCATCTATTGTGCAACTCGACAAATCTAACAACTTTAACTTGTTTAATTTTTCAATTCCATTTGGCATTCTTTCAAATTTACTACCTTGTAGGTCAAGAATTTCAAGTCTTGTAAGACTTAACACAAAAGAGATGTCATGTAAATCCCAATACTGCAATCTCAAAGTTTGAAGATTAGACAACCATTGGATTGATTGAGGTTGTAGTTCAACCCTAGCCTCATATTTGCACATAATAATCAAAGCCTTGAGTCCTTTGGTGCCTTCAAATGATGTATGTGATATATCCAAGGGTTTTATTGAGCGTAATAATAGAAACTCAAGCTTCGGAGCATCTAAATGAGAAGGAAATTGAAATAATTCATTGTTGTGATACCATGAAGATACGGCATAACAATCTTTTATCGCTTCATCAGTAATCAATTTGTTTAATTCTTTTGTACAATTCACCATAATGGTGCGATCCTCTTCAGATGCTTTCCACAAAGCAAAGTCACGAACCACATCATGCATTGTCACATATTCTTGTGTATACATGTTGAACTTCCAAAAACGCATCAAGAATGAGGAGTCAATGAGATAATTTATAGTTGCTCTAACTTGACTCCTTGCTGTTTCAAACGAGTCCGCATCTTTGCATAAGCCTAACCCCACTCCATACCTCAAGAGATCTTCAACAACAATGCCATGATCTTCAGGAAACATGGCACACATTAACAACAACAACTTAGCTTTTGGGGTCGCTAAATAATCAGAGCTTAATTCAAGACAAGCAAAAGCGTCCCTAACACCTTTATCCACATTGTTTGGCTTTGCATTCCTCAACCGACACAACGCTACATTCATCTCATCAACTCCTTTTCCTCTCAAGCAAGTTCCCATAGCTACAATAGCTATAGGTAGGCCCTTACATTCCATGGCAATTTCATGAACCACAACTTCTTTAGCGACATCATCAACCCTAGCATGAGTTTGAAACAAAGTCCAAGCTTCATCTTCTTTTAGCAAATGAAGTTGAATCATCTTTTGGCATTCCATCAAGTTACATACCTCTAGACGACGTGTGGTCAGGACAACTTTGCAACTTCTTTGATGATTTCCTCCAGTGAGAATCCCTATATCCTCAAGATCCAACATGGCCCATACATCATCCAGTATTATCAAAATTCGTTCTCCACTTTGCAATCTTAGTGCTATTCTTTTTGCTCTACCTATTTCAGATTCTTCACTTAATTTGAGCCCCAACGTGTCAGCAATTTCACCTTGAATTTTTCTTACATTTGGGCTTTGAGAAATTGTAGTAAGCACAACTCGATCAAAGATCTGTAACTCTTTGGCTTTCTTTCCCACTTCTTTCACCAGGGTGGTTTTCCCTGACCCTCCCATGCCCCATAGCCCAATTATGGAGCTACCATCATCTCGCAGTGCCTCACACAGCTGATCAAAAGCCTTTTGTGTAGAGTTGAAGAGCTTAAAGTTTTGAGGAGAGTGATAATCTATATCTGGAATAATAACAGGATGGGAAAATGAACTGAAGCAGTCACTCTTTGTATTTAGATCAATCATCCTTTGGGCAGTCTTAGCCAACTTTTTGCAGAGACAATATCTCTTCCAAGTAGGGCACCACCCTCGAAGGCAGCCATGGTTAGCCTTTAGTCCTTCCTCTAATTTCTCCACCTCTGCTATGAGGCTTTTCACATCATTCTTCCACTTGTTAACCTCATCATCAATCCTCTCAGTTCTATTGATAGCCTCTTGAACAAGTTCCTGCACTCTCCCTTGCTTCAGTATTAGCTCCTCCTTCCTAATGTCAACATTTCTGGTGATTTTTCTGACACAAAACAAACGTTGCAACTGCTGGAAAGTTGGGTGCACCAAATATTCAGCAAGTTTTGCTGCTACCGACAGTCCCACCTCCGCCATTTAGTATTAATAGCAACCTAAAGGAGAGCCATTCATCATCATCAAATGATTATTTCGAGAAATTGAAGCATCTTTATTACGTACTTACTCTTACATGAAGATATCATCAACATGAAAAGAATGATGTTTTTCCTTAAACAGAGTGAATTAAGGACGATCAATTGTTTTGGTTCGGCTTTCTTGCTCTGATATTGGGTTTTTTTTGGCCCCAGGGATGTTCAGATATTGGAGTAACCAAATTTAGTGTTTCCTGTTTCTATTGAGATCGATGCAAAGGTGAAAGAAAGAAGAAAAAATGTAGTCTGCAAATGACAGCGGCAATAATGAGAAACGACTAGGGATAACGGCCAAAAATACTTGCAAGCATATTTTATGCAATTTGACAGAAAATTTTTCTCATATACTTACTTTGTATTTCATAAATGATGATTGCAAAGTTACTTATAAACTATTTTAAATAGGCCCTAACAAAATACTCATGCTTTAAGAATTGAGAGAGGTCACAGATTGACGTTTATATATGGAGAAACAACTAGAGAAATAGGGGAGAAACAAGAAAAAAACATGCTAAAAATAAAGTGCGAAAAAATGAGACTCTAATTTAAAATTGAAAGCAATTATTAGAAAAAATAGGTAATCTCTGGAAATTTAAAATTAAAAGACATATGCAAAAAAAAAAGGACATATTCTAATTTTCGTAGCTGGCATCTCTTCTTTACACGGGTCTTTCTTGAAGGGACGCACCGCGTAGATGATTCTTTTGAGAAGTAATTATGACCAAAATATTTTAAAATCACGTTTAAACAATTAAACCAAACACAAATATACCTAAAAAATTTATTTTAAATCTGAACTTGATATATTGCGGCTGTTTTGTTTATGCTTTTTTTCCCTTAAAAAAAAAAAAGAAACAAAAGAAAGAACGAGAGTATTTACAAAACCCATTAGCTAAGCTATGTTTGCCACTTTATCCGGTTAATTGATTTTCCCCCCAGGGTATATACACCTATTTTTGACAATATAGGAACAAGATTAGAGTTGCTAAAAAGGCCAAGATATGTACCCCAAATTTTGTTATTTTTTCAGACCGAGACTTAACTTTCTTGCTATGAGATCTAAGCCTTTTCCAGCTGTTTTTAGATCCTAGAGTAATTAAACTTATTGTCTTGGATTGTACTTTGGGAGAATCAGTATGAGCTAGTAGGGAAGAAATGTAATTACGATAAGTAAGTAGCATGCAATAATCAGTTTCAGCACAAGAAATAACAACATGTCCATGCTGTTTACTTCTCATGCATTTTTTTTAAAATTACATTCCTTCCATGAGATCTCATAGTAATTTTACTTTCTCTTGTATTTTCTGTTAGATTTATGCCAAGTTGAAAGGAAAACAAGCAACAAATGTGGTTTGTAATAACAAGTAGAAAACACTGATCAGAAAATGAAAGACTACTAAAGGTGGGGAAAACGAGGGTTTGATGTTCATACCAGATAATCAAGCTTGCAAAATTCAGTTGATGATTCTTGGCTTGCAAATTTTCAAGAGCCAGATGAATAGAAATATAGAATTTACCTTATAGTGGGTTTACCAAAGGGATGGAAAGAAGCGATTCACTATGACGAAGAATTCAACTTGTTGCTGAGTGATTGGTGGCTCAAAAAAGTTCTTATAATGATCCCAAGGGTTGGGTGAAAAATAAGTTCTACAGACATAATTAGTATTATAATCTTGTACTGTGTATTATTCTACTACTCATTAAGGGTCCGTTTGGTATGAGGAAAAATGAGAGAAGGGGAGAGAAATTTTTGATAAACTCGATTTAAAAAATAAAAAAGGTGTTGTTAAAAGCTTTCAAGTAGTTTTTATGACTATTTTATATATTATTCTTCCAGTCCTAATATTATAAAATGGGTCTTATATTTAGGACCGGAGGAATACTTCTTTTCTTTATTAAAATTTCAAAACCCCACTTTTCCAACTTTTTAAATAGAGTTCATTAAAATTTTTCCTCCCCTCCCCTCCCCTCCCCTTCATTTCCCTTACACCAAACATTACCTAAGAATAAGTAAGTTAAATTACTTTTTAAAATATATATTTTTTCCAAACGATTTACAAAAACTTGATAATTTCACAGTTCGGTTATGTATCTATTACTTTCTTGACTAATTCATCAATCTCACGTAGTATAATAGAGACGTAACATTTTCTAGCCTTCCTTTTTAAGTTCTTAGTTTAAAATAAAGAAGAATAATTTGAATTCAAAAAATTAGATTCCAAATTGGAGATTGGTAACTTACCTAACACTAATGAAATAGAATAATTGCTTATATGGCCGGCCATTATCCCATGTTGGTATGTTATTTTATTATTTAGGTATCATTGAGCTCTGTCCCTTACTTTCATGAAGCAACATATTAGAAGGCTAAAATTATTAGATATTCTCTCGGATTGATTGGTTAAATAGATTGGATTAATTATACTTGTTTTTGTATGTCTGAAATCAATTAAATGTTACCTCAATTCTTAGAATCTATACAAATTATTTTTGAAATAAATTATGTGATAAAAATTGAAGCTTGGGATGTATTTCAAATTCATGTTAAAGTAGCTGATGGCGCTAGAAAAGTAGCCCATGTAATGAACTACCCATTGCAGTTATGACCATGGGGAAGTGTTTAAGAAGAAAAGGATTTGGAAGAGGTGGACATCACGAAAATGTTTGAATTAGCTTTTTGAAAGTAATTCTGGGATGTGTGAGGTAAATATATGAGAAGAGTGTTATTTTAATTTGCACGAAAGTAATGCACAAGATCTTTAAATTTGGGTTAGTTAAATACCTCTATGTTAGGTGGATTAATACAGGATCTTGCATAAGGATCTTCCTCTTTTAATTTAGAACACCTCCAACTAGAAAATCTTCAAAATCTAGTTGAATTTTTTTTTCAGAAAGGTATCATCCAGGGTGCCCATCTATAGAGATAATAAAATGGAGGGATTATCAAAATATGGTATGCATTTGCTCTCCCCCAGACTTCAAGTTGACTCGTAAAAATGATTAAAAATACTAAAGTTTTATTATATAAAACAATATCTTTCCACTGTTTGAATCTCACTCTGTTTATGGTTTAAATAAAAATGCAATTAGCTATAGCAATAATATTTTTTGACCATGACCAATAGCAATAACAAACAACATACATTACAATTTTCATCATTCCCTTAAACCATCTATCTCTCTTCTTATGTAAAATTTGAAGCGATTCATTTGGTATCATTTTTATTTAAATACTTTGCATGGTTTGTTGTCTACACACATGAACAAATAATGCTGTCTCAAGTTTCAATTAAAAATAAATTTTTTTTATCATTTGAAATTTTAATTTTTGTTTTTATGTCTAAGACTCTGACTCGACTCTCTAGGATTGGGTTTGGCAAATTTGAAGTTAGTCTGCTGATGGGCCTCAATTTGGGCGGAAGTGAGGCCCAAAAGATAAAATTATGCTTTTTTTAATTTTATCTTTATTGAATATGAGAGAAAATGTATAGATTTTTTTTGGGAATACCCTTTATTTTATAAGAGTAAATCTAAAAAATTGTATCAATTTATTGCATTTCTTGGCATGGAAAAATGAGATACAAGTGACTTACCTATAGAATGTAAGTGGCAATAAATGTTTTGATGTGAAGCAGGATATACGAGTATGTAATGATGGAGTTGTAAATTTTAATATAACATTTTTGTGAATGTTTATATATTTTTTATTATCTTCTATATCTCCTATCAATTTTAATATTTTTTATTATTTTTAAATTTCAATCTGTAAATTCTATTAATGATGTAAAGTTATGCTTATAAATAGAGTACATATATAATGTATTCAGTATCTCAAATGGAAGGAGAAATACTTTTATCTTGTCTTCTATCTAACTCTCTTTTCTTATTATTCTCTACTCTTTTATAACATATGCCAATATGACGTTTCCTTAACTTTTTTTTAAACAAAATTAGAACACTCTCCTTTTTATTGGATTTCGCAAACATAGTATTTTACTAATCCAACTCTAATCAATCCACGTTAGACGTCACGAAATCACTGTCTTATCTTTTTATTGGACCATCAAGCAAATATTAAGAAAACAGTAAATGTAATTTTGTATTTTTTTTTTTAATTTAGGAGCATACATAACTTAGTCCCAAATTTAGGCACATAAATTTAGGCATATAAATTTAATATTTTTTTTAATCAAATACTCATCAATTATAATCTATCTAATAAAACTAATTTAGATCAAATATAATACATCAAACGTTGTTTTTCTTCTTGGCCAGAAAAATCAAGTGGAGTATGCAAACCAAAAAATGAAAGATCTGGTGATGAACATTATTATCAGCCTTGTCACTCGTCATAATTCAGGAAATGGTCTACAAAATAGATGGTTCCAACTCTAATGTATTTTAAATTTGTACTTGACTGGGGCTGTTTGTTTATGTCCCCCCACCCCCCCGGGGGAAAAGATGTTAGGAAAACAAACGAAAAAGAAAGAAAGAGAGGATGATTACGAAACCAATGAGCACTGTAGCCATAAGTCGGAATGCCCCAGATTTTGTCATTTTTTCAGACTCGACTCTAAAATTTCGTCCTATGAATCTAAAACTTTTTCCAGCTATTTTTAGACCCCAGAGTAACTAAACTTACTGTTTTTGACTGTATTAATTAATTATAAAAAAGTTTTACAATAATATGTCACTTGTTATGCAATTTTTTTGTAATTACATTTCTTTCTCGAGATCTCATAATAATTTTCTCTTGTATTTTTTTTTTCAGACTTGTGCCAACTTGAAAGGAAAACAAGCAACGAATGTAGCTTGTAATAACAAGTAGAAAACACTGATCAGAAAATGAAAGACTAAAGGTGGGTAAAAACCGGGGTTTGATGTTCATACCAGATAATTAAGCTTGCAAAATTATTCGGTTGATGATTCTTGGCTTGCAAATTT